GAGTAATATAAATTAATGTAGTATATTTTACTGGCGCATATTTTGGTATGTAATGCTGTATGACTTCTTCAGGTCCCATACAAACGTTTCAAATTGGAAATGTCTACAGACAATAGAAGTCACAACAAATAAGCCTGACACAGACATCTCGTCAGCGATTTCACCACCCATAATTAAAAAAAGTAGACAAGAAACGAATCTTTCAATGGACAGTGTAATCATTGAAAGTACGGAACCCTCAACCTCCAAAATCGCCTCACAACTCTCAAAAGATGAAGTACTAATCCAACCGTGTGCAAATTTTTTAACACCATTTAAAGAAAATTTCTTGTCAAACACTGGTCCTATTTCATCATCAATGACATCACTCGAAAATGATCACTCAAGTGGTTCAACTGGTTCACTTTGGCATTTTCAAGATGTATCTGATAATCTTGAATCTGATGAATTGACAAGAAGCTCTGTGTTTTCAACACGAGAGTCAACATCTTCTCCAGCACCTAAAGTTTTTCAAACTACTCCACTGTCACGAAAACCATTGAAGAAAAAAAATTACTCGACTGAATTAGAGAGTTCTCTAATTTTACTTTGCCAAACTATGCATCAACGTTTCCAGGATAATCATAATTCCGAAGTGATTGGTGGTCCGGACGAAACTTTTGCAAGATTAATCGTAAACCAATTAGAAAGATTATCATCGTATGAAAAACAAAAACGACAGCAAGCAATCATGCAAATTTTGTATGCACCTTATAATTCTTGAATAGGTGAAAATGATAGCAAAGCTACAAATCATTTTGACATCTTAGATTTCAGATAACATATTGTTCTTCTTCATTTCATATTAGTTTGTATTACATTTCGTATTCATATTTCCTTTCTAATGTTTAAGAGTTCAGTTAGCATACTTTAATGCTGCGTTCCGCTATTCACTGCTAGTACTGCAAATCTGTAGCTTATGTTATGTACACTATAAATTTTCAGTACTGGTAGTGAATATCGGAACGCCACCCATGTTATTTTGTTGTACCTTTGTTGTACTGTATATTTAATTCATACGTCTTGTGCAATGTTTAATTGTATTAGTTTATTGTACCTTTGCACTTTATAATTTTATTCGAACGTTTTTATGTGCAATGTTTAATTGTATTAGTTTGTTGTATCTTTGCACTTTATATTTTATTCTTACGTTTTTGTGTTCAGTTTTGATGTTCATTTAACTGTAACTGTTATAGACATGTTCAGGATATTCCAAATTTGCTTTTCTAACTCTTTACGTAGAATATAATATATATATATATATATACAGGGTGTTCGGAAAGTACCGGGACGCCCGAATATCAGGAAAAATATAAGTTTTACAAAAAAATGTTTCAGACAAAAGTTGTGGCGTTTAAAAAGATGTATTTACTGATCACATCAGTTTGACCTTGGGTTGCGTAGCGAAGGTCAGGTCAAGGTCACATTAATTTTTTTAAA